GGGCACAATGTTGGAAAATGATCATATGTGTATTTATTAGAACGAGAAAAGAACGTCCTTATGCCAGGCGGGAATTTTTTGATTTTTTCATACATTTTAAAAAAACATTACTAAACCCGTAGACTTCAAATTTAACTTAGAAATATATATTAAGGTTTATATATGTTATTGAAAATTATTTTTGCAAAATGTATTGAGTAAAAATATAAAATTAGTATTACGATTTTTTTTTCGTAAATACTACATATGTATATTGGATTTTATTAACTTTTAGTATACTTAGATGATTTCATATGACGGTTTGTTTGAAATAAAAGTTATGCGATCCCTTTTGAACAGAATTCTAGGAAGAGGAGGAAAGAGGAGGCGATGCAAAAATGGCAGCGGATAGGTTATTACAATATTTATTTTAATTAACCTTTTTATAAATGTGTAAATAGATATCGTGTGTATTAAGGAAAATGGAAAATGAATTACTAATCTTAAGTATTAGAATGAGCAAATCCCGTCCTTATAGTAGACAGGGATTTTTACATTTTTTGCATACATTTTACAAGAAAATTACTAAACCACTAGACTTGAAATTTAACATATATATATATATTAAAGTCTATATGTCTTATCGATAATTATTTTTGCGAAACATGTTGATAAAAAATATTTTTTCGTAAATACTACATATAATGTAAAGGATTTTATTAACTTTCAATAGTATCCACAGATAAGAGGCCTGATGGCCGAGTGACTAATGCTCTGGCGCTCGGTGCCACAGGTTTCGGGTTCAAGTCCCGGCGGTGCCATGGATATTTGTAGTGGTTCGGAGTCCATTTTAAGCTGTAGGTCCCGGTCTAATATGACCGTTGGGCGTAGGACTGACAAATCTACTCTGTAAAAAAATATAACATCATCTGTCTAGAAATCTGCCAGTAGGCAGACGTAGGCCTTTCCCCGCAGTAGGTCTGTTGCGCGACTGATTAAGATGAGTATCCACAGATGACTGCACATGACGGTTCACTTGAAATAAAAGTTATGCGATCCCTTTTGAACTGCGGGCCTGATGATCGAGTGGCTAGCGCTCGGTACTACAGGTTTCGGATTCGAATCCCGGTGGTGCCATGGATGTTTGTAGGGGTTCGGAATCCACTTTAAGCCATAAGTTCCGGTCTCATATGACCGTAGAGCGTCACAGAGCCCAATCAGTCTTCTTCTCACCCACATCATTCTCATACTGTATAGGGGCAACTCAGCTCTAGGTACAGTGGTGTGGTGTGGTGTAGTAGAGGTAGATCCCTTTCGAACTGAACTCTGAGGAAAGAGGAAGCGGTGTAAAAATGGCAGCGGATAGCTTATTACAATATTTATTTTAATTAACCTTTTTATAAATGTGTAAATAGAGATCGTGTGTATTAAAGAAAATGGAATACGAACAATTATTTTTTTTTTAATTCCTCTAGGTACCATGATCATCATCCTATACAAAATGGCATCTATACTGTGATGAAGCCACTACACTTTAACTGCCGATTTGTTTTGAAGTAGCTATCCTTGAATCAACTTGATGCAAACAGTTGGAAAAGACGCACTAGTATAGTGTTGATGCTCCAAAAGTTGACAGCCACCCTGACACATAATCGATGCTCTGAAAGTTTAAAACCGTCCTGGTGTAGAGCTGTCATCCCAAATTGAAAGCCCTCCTGGCAGAGTGTTCTGGATCAACAGCCTTCCTGACATAATGTTAGCGTTTCAAATCAAGAGCTGTCCTACTGCGAAGTTTCTGATTGTTTCTGAAATCGCCACGACGTCTGTTTTGCACATACATTCAACTGAAAGTAGTATAGCCTTTATATTATGGACATTTTTATCATTACAGCGTCCCTTCAATCAGCTGGAAATCCTTTTGTTGGGACAGCAAAAGGATTTCCAACTGCCTTTCAAGTTAAAAATTACAGATAACCATTTTCAAACTTTTAAACCAATAATAACTTTCGTTGTAACGTTAACCTTGTAATAAAATTTTATTTCTATAAACATTTTTGTGATTTTTCTTAAAAATAAAACACAATTGTATATAAGCTATTATTTTTTCCCCTCAACTATTTTTTATTATTTATTATTTTAATATTTTTTTGATTCGATCTAAAATATTCTTGACAGTAATGTTAGTTTTTATTTTTTATTATTGTTTAAAAAAATAATATTTTATAAGTTCTCTCATGTCGTATGTACTAAAATTACTTGTAATTATCATCAGTGACGCAACAGCCCCATGGTGGGCCAAGGCCATCTGCCTACCGGCAGATTTCGAGACAGGAGATGTTTTTTCTTTTACGGGGTTGGATTGTCAGTCCTACGCCCAACGCTCTTCTATCATATTATACCGAGACCTACGATTCAAATAGGATTCTACAAATATCTACATAACCACTGCAAATATCCATGACACCGCCAGGACTCGAACCCGAAACCTGTGACACAGAGCGCTAGGGTGCTAATCACTCGGCCATCAAGCCCCATAATTACTTATAATAACTCACATATTAATGGTATCCTTTTTAAGCATTTTTTTTAGTTTCATTTTAAGCAAACTGACTTATTTGACATAAATACTGCTTGCTATATCTAAACAAAAATATATGATTTATTTGTCATTTGTCCTTGGATGTCAGACCTTTATAGAATTGTTCCGTCAAAGCAGATACAGAATAACTGTCATCACAACTAGATTGTGAGTAGACTATTGGAAATTAGTCAACGTACTCGTTTCCTTTAACTACTGCTGTAACCAGTTGCTTAAATACCAGCTGTTCATAACAAAATTAGTAACTGCGGAATTATTGGGTGGACTTAAGCAATTTTTTTTTTTTAGTTTTATCGGGTCTAACTTTATGTTACGTTCTAATTTGTGGGTTAAAAAAGATTTAGTAAATGAAGCGTTGGGTTACGTTAAAGATTATACAGAGTTTTTGCATACCGTATTTTGGACGTTCATTAGCTTTTTCTCCCTAGCGCGCATGCTCATAGGAAATATTATTACAGATACGCATGCGCAATTTCCTATGAGCATGCGCGCTAGGGAGAAAAAGCTAACGGACGTCCAAAATACGGTATGCAAAAACTCTCTAATGTTTCCTATGAGCATGCGCGCTAGGGAGAAAAGGCTAACGGACATCCGAAATACGGTATGCAAAAACTCTCTATTATCTATGAAAAAAAAATCATAGTCCACCTGATCAGATGTCAAGGGTTAATAATTTTTGAATTCGAAAATTACACACAACTTATGAAAAACATGGTGTGTTATTACGAAACTATTAAAACGTGTTACTTTGTCTAAACGACAAAGTTATAGTTATTCAAGAAAACAATTTCGACTAAAATTAAATTTTGTTAGTGCGATTCACAAGTCTCAAGGGCTGAGTTTGAATTAAGCTGTTGTGGATATTGGACAGAAAGATACATCAGTTTAATTTATTTACTTTGCAGTATCTAGTGTAAACATTTTACAAGGTTTTCAGCACACAACGTAAAACTTTTTTATGAAAGATTTCAAAGTATATTATCACATACTAAAATGTCGAAAAGGGTCTGATGGCCGAGTGACTAGCTCACTGGAGATCGATGCCCAGGTTTCGGATTCCAGTCGCAGCGGTGTCATGGATGTTTGTTATGGCTCGGAATCCACTTTAAACCGTAGGTGCGGTCTAATAGGACTATAGGGCGTTGCGCATAAAGCTGGCAACCCTACCTCGTGAAAAGAAAACACCTTCCTCGAAATCTACCCGTATGCAGACGGACTTGCCCCACCATGGGGCTATTACGGCAAATGAAGAGGAAAATATGAAAAAAAGGAAAAGAATGCAGAATGAAAAATTTTGTAGTACGTAGATAATGTTTAAAGCAGATCATATTATACATGACTTTAAATCTTTCTTTGTTGATTGATAAAAATTGTTTCGTGTCATTAATCTGTAATTTTTTATACTGAAAAATATCTAAATAAAACACTTTTTGTATTTATAAATACTTGCTCCTCATGCTAGCTGAAAGTTGAAATTTGCAAGAACTTGCAAGATCTCGGTAGAAAAAAAAGCACCTTGGTTGTTAGTGCTCTGACCTTTGGTGCCACAGGCTTCAAGTGCGAATCCTAGAGGTGGCATGGATGTTTGTTAGTAGTTCGGAATCCACGTAAAACTGTAGGTCCCGGTTTAATTAGTCTAGGGTGTGCAAAAAATAACCATAGAGCGACAAACCCAAGCATTGCAAAATAAATGCACCTAAATGGGTTGGTTTTTTTTTACAAATTGCAATGAAGTTCCGTAAGTTGCCATAAAGTTTTACTCTTAGTTAGTAGAGATGTAATTTTTGTGAAAAAGGGTAAAAAGTATTGTTTAGTTTTTGATATAATAACAGATTTCAGGCATCGTTATTTCCTTATCAATTTTTAAAATACATGCGCTTTTGAGGTTAACTTTAAACATCTGGGAAACTTTCTTACAATTAAAAAAGTGTCTGCAGAGAATATAATTAGAAATTAATTTATCATGAAACTTACTAAAGTTAAGAAAGAGGTGGCCTAATATGTCAAAGAAGAAACCTGTTTCCTTTATTGACGTAAATGAATAATTGAATTTTTTGATAAAAAAAATTTTTATTTCAAATCATCCTCTCCTACTTTTAAATTCTATTTGTTAATATTCTAAATTCTATTGTTGTTGTTGTTTCTTATCCCACTTGGTTGACCAAGCCCACGAGCCCATATGTACTCATGATTGAAGGGGAAGGAAGCAGCTTCTGTTGTGATGGAGCACCCAGTAGGTAGAAGTCTGACTTTGGCTCCGTGACGTTCTTACAGTCATGGGAGACCGGGACCTACGGCTTAAAGTGGATTCCTAACCGCTACAAACATCCATGACACCGCCGGGATTCGAACCCGAAACCTGTGGCACCGAGCGCCAGAGCGCTAGACACTCGGCCATTCAGGTCCCAAATGTGTGAATGCCAACGGCACGTGGTGTTCCAGGTGGTCACCCACCCAAGTACTGACCGCGCCCAGTGATGCTTGACTTCGGATTCTAAATTCTTTAGTTGCATTATGGCTGTTTAATCCTATAAGTTTCTTGGGATGTATTTTGAGAAAATTTCTATTGACACTCACATTATATGCTAATTTATCGATAGTGTCAAATAAAAAAAGCTAGTAAATAATATTTAATCAAAGACAGTGGTTCTCAAATGTTTTTAAATCATGACGCATTTAAAAACCTACCAATAATTGTAAGCGCGCTATATACAAATTTCTGAGAAACACCCATCTTCTACTAAGCTTCACAGACATGATCAAATCCATAGACTACTACAGTGGTTTTCAAAGGATGTGACAGGGCACACTAGGCAAAAAAATTTCCATTGCAGCCTCTGAGATTCCGTCGCCAGTAATTAATAGTTACCTACAACTACTAGTAGTGTATCTTTATATAAAAGTTGATTGGTATGTAATTGCTCATCTTTATATAAAAGTTTATTGGTATGTAATTGCTCATCTTTGTATAAATGTTTATTGGTATGTAATTGCTCATCTTTGTATAAAAGTTGATTGGTATGTAATTGCTCATCTTTGTATAAAAGTTTATTGGTATGTA